AATTATCCTGTATTTTCTGATAACAGTTTATAAATAAAATTAATTCAGAATCATAAAAATTGCTATGTTTAATTTTTTTCCTTATTTTGCATTAATATTTAAGACATGTGCATATCTAAAAAATTAAAGGTAACCAATAGAAAATAATGATATATTCAGGATCAGGAGCACTAAATTACTCAAAATCAACTCTTGAATCCCTGGCAACAGATTGACTGTTCCCCTGTGTTTTTATTAGACTGTCAATTTTTATGCACAATGACATTTTATGAAGTAATTCATAGAGACAAGAACAAAAGTTGGAATTTCTTTATTCCCTTCACCCTTTGCTTTAAAACATCGAATCAGACTCGCGTTGATGATTTCAAATTGGATTCAGGAAACATGAATATTATTTGTTTATTTTTAGTTGAAGTGAAATACTAGTTTGCTGGTATTAATAGTAAACGTTTAAAGTAAATGTCCAATTGTTATAAGTACAGAATTTCTTTCGTTTCTGGGAAATATCGATAAGAAAGTGGTTCTAGAGATGGTGGACGCCAAGAAAATCGTAAGACAAAAGTTGAGTACCTTATTGGGTTAAGAATAAAATAGAAAACTCGTTGCATGTCCAGAAAGTTTTGTATTTTATTGTATTTCACGCAGTAATTATTATATACCACACTTTTCTAAATATTTTCAAATTAAAAATTTTAGCAAAGAGTAGTGGAACAATAGAAGCTGGATGTCACGAAATTTTCTCGAACAATATTGTCGTTAATATTTATATAATAGCACTAGACAACACAAATAAGGAAAAATATTGCAAGAAAGAGGAAAAAGCAAAATTATTTTAAATAATCATTCTGTGAATACTAAATCTGTCGTTCCAAACGTATTTCTATTTAAAAGCAAGTCACACGTGGTGCCCGTAAATCAAAAGGTGAATTGTAGAGAGTATTGAATGAGATTTGGCAGTGTGTATTATTGAACTGAAACGTTCATTGACGTGTGATTGCATAGTGTATGCCAGATGTGTATTAAACGTGACACATGAACTAGACATTAACCATAAATCCAAAATCGATGTGTATATTATTGGACCGAGCATCATTAGGACACCATTGTCTTGAAAATTATTGCACCGTACAGCAGAAAGCATTAATTTATTCGTAAAATAATCGACGTAAAGAACTACAATAATATATATTTTTCAGTGTATTACTTTTTACAACAAATGAAGTTAAATAAATTTCTTCTTTCATCAGATGTACTTAGATTAAATAATTCGATTGTTTAAATTGTTTCGAAAGAAATACATTTCAAACTAAAATGAATTTGTAGATCTTTGAAAGTGTAGTAATTATTATGTAATGTCGGCAGATACTACTAAAGTATTGCCAATTCACACAAACTACTGGAAATATTCATTGCATCACTCTCAAATTTTCATAACATGCACACTTCTCATAGCGATATGATTGCTACAATGTTTCGTATTCAACTGACATTGGCAAAAATAATGAGCTACACATTCTTACAATAACTATCTGTTCGAATGAATTTTCCGAGTACATATTAATAATAAGAGAAGTATATGTAATAACATACGTAATATTCGAGCGATGCAATAAATATTTTCAGTACTGTACATCTTGGAGTTAAACCTTTCCTATAATTTACATATGGTGCCGCTATTTAGATATCCCTTAATTTTGTTAAAAAAGATTTTTTAATTTTATTCTATACTATCCATATGTCGTAAATATGTAGTACGCACAAAGCAGAGTTGCATTTTCTCTCCTGCGTTTTGCTTTCAACGCAATCGACTACGAGTGGTACACACATGAAGTGTGGAAATCGATCTTATTCGTATTTCAATGGTTTTAGAAACAAAGCAACGTGGTAAACACTCGTGCACTTATTTGAATGACAATCGACGCTTTCGAGTGAGAAAAATACACAGTGGAAAACGTTTGAGTATTTCAGGCCTACGTGTAAAGCTTTCGCCAAACTGGAAAAACTGACTAAAAAAACAGCAATGTTTGGTGTACTGTCATTTACGATACTTTTGAAGTCTTTGGCTTGAATAGTTGGATACAAAAATTTAACCATGACACAATTTAAATATTTTTTATTTTATCACAGACTTTTAATTTTATCACATGTTCTCAACTTGGGACCATGTGGCCCCCAGGGCATCCCAGGATACTTCTGGTTTCCAATTTTATCATTAAAAATCATACAAATTATAATAAAACATGTTAAATTTACAAACAAGACATTTAAATAGCTACTTCTATACTGATAGGACACAGGAAGGAAACAAGGTAGGAAAAAGGCCACGCTTGGAAAAACGTTAAGAAACAATGTATTAAACTTTAAATAAGAATAACATATGTATATTATTATAGTTATTAAAAATAATATGTATATATGGTAAATATCCCAATTTCTGTCAGTGTCCCTAATATTGTCACTTTATTTATTTTACCTAATAAAAACGTAACGTATAAGGAATTGTGTAAGGAAAATTTTATTATTATATTGGGACTCTGATTTACATACGTGTACTTATATGTACGTGGTATTTAAAATTTAATGTTGACGAATGAAAGTGCAATTTGAGCGTTAAAAAGACGTAAATGAAAAGTCATGGGGAAATCATACTAAAGAAATAACCGTAATTTTACTATGCGACCTATATCTGTAGTACAAAATAAATTTTTTAAAGTATATAAGAGTTATTTTAATTTCTGAGGTGACAGTTATAGGAACACTGGGATTGCTTACAGATTTTAAATAATTATTAAGTAATTTTTCACACGTTACATATCCATAAACTATTTTTTTAATGAAAGGGATGTTAAATAATATTATCTTTCAAACTGAAACGATTTTTATGTTAAATAACACGTAAAATGCTTAAATGAGTTAGGTTGTAATTGGGACATCTACTCTTAATCAAAATTGTCAACTTCATAATAAATTGTATTCTACAATAAAATAAACTTTTGAATTAGAATGACAAATGTAATGTGTAATAATGTAATTAATTTCTAGAATGTTTTCAGCGTAAATAACTCTTAAATTTTACTTATATTTGTGCAGACAGGAACTTTTGAATGTTTTATTAGGTATTTGTTATTTGTAGTTCTTGATATTGTCAATATTCCTAAAGAATTTTGTATTATACTGAAAAAAATAATATGCAAAGAAAAATGTTGTTTTCTTATTCTATTTTTGAAAGAGTGAATGAAGAAGAAATCACAAACTGACTATGAAAAATGATCTTTTCTAGAAACTTGATGTAAACGAATTTATGCCTCATTTATACTTTATCATCACGCTCACGATTTCGGACATTTCTATATTCATTTCAAAGATGTAACTGATATGAAGCTCTTCTGAATTCAATATTTACTGTGGTAAGATGCACAGGGTTAATTTCCTGGTTCGATGTTTAATTTCCTGAAGTGATTATTTATTACATACCGCAGATACAATATTTGCAAGAAATACAGTTGCAAAAGTATCCGCCAATTCCATCCATTCGGCACATATTATGTATTTAATTAAGGTTAATATCCAAATTAACAATTATAATTTATATTGATGCAAAGTTTGACTAACGTATAGGGTGGATGCACCAGTAAATGAACACGTATGAGTGAATCAACATTATATATAAAAACGAGTAAATGAAGTTATTAAAGTAAAATTCAACTTCAATAGTTAAAAAATCTCCTCAGTGTACATTCATTGGTGTGTTTACGCGTAGAAAAATTATGCACAATTCGTTTTAATCATCGTACATCGATCATGTTCAATTTAACTCAGAATTGAAATTTGATGTTTAATTGTATGGTATTTCAGGTACACAGTATGTCCGGTTTAAGTGTATATATGTTATTATTTCTCTAACTATTCCAAATATAAAAGAATTTTTCATCTGAAGTTTGCTTGATTTCATGGAGCAAAGTTAATAAAATATGTGAATTTCTTTTTCAATTCTGTTTATAGAGATTTTAATAACAACGTAATTTTTTTAAATAGTACTACATATTTTTATTATTGTCATATTATTAAGCATTTCAAGATGAATTCAACGACTTATTTGAAAGTTCTGTTTGAACAATAATTTTTTTGATAACTGTAGGAATATTGGTGGTAATTTCATTGCTTCTTATCTCGCGGATTACACGTTATAGGTTTTTTTCAGTTAGTAGGTTGCAGATTTCACACGTCTATAGCATGCAGAAGTATGTGAAATACAGTAAAACAAAACTTCGATCGAGTTTAATAAAGTTTTTATTTCATTTTTATCCCCCTAAAATCTGTGATAGAAGAAAGAATTTTCGATTTTTACTACGTCTTTATAAATCACTCTACAGAATGATATTTTGCATAAAAATCCGCATCTAACAATTGAAATTTATCGCAAAAACAGGAGAGAAATATTTCGAAACGTAGAATTATAACTAGAATACACGTATTATGACTGACAGTTTTCAAGCGTTTCGACTGGAATGAAATTCAACGAAAATTATTCGAAGCTCTGTCTATTTCAAATATGAGGTGCTTATTAATCAGGCTACTGGTGTGCTACATCATCAGCAGTATGTCACAAAAGTATTCGTCCATCTTAAACGAATTTTACGTGGAATAATAAGTGGGATTGTAAATAAAATATTGCATCAAAACCTATTTTTAATGAACATTTATTAGTTTATTTCACAATAATAGTTCATTTAAAATAGGTCTGATACAGTTTTTTATTTGGAAACCTATTTATAATTCCATTCAAAATTCGTTTAATGCCTAAGGTGGCCGAATATTTTTGTCACAAACTGTGTACAGAATGATCTTTAAGAACTAAATTGCTGTACTAAAATCATACGGACTGTATTTTACGTGGAGCTTCTATAAAAAAACCTACGTCGTATTAGTACTATCATTCACTAACTACTTCCTTTGTAAGGATGCAAAATTTAAAAAAAACTTTAAAAAGTGCCATGTACCTGTCATTGTGTTTCCTGTGCCGCAGTAGAAGTGAAAATATTAGTTAATGTTATTGTTTCCTTTAAAGTCTGACACTGACAGACTATTATGAGTTAATAAAAAAATCTGAAGGTCCATTTCTAATTTATGTATTGGGTATCGTGTTGTGTAATTATGTTAACTCAGAGTGTTTGTTTGTTTAGATTGGGCCACTTTGAGGGGAATAGGCTTTATTCGAGAGTCTGAAGAAGACTTTATATCACAGGTTCAGAATATATAATAATAAGAAAATGCAGAATAATTTTTCTTAATCCTTTCTAATATTTCTTTTGAGTCTGAAACATAATTTAAGGATACCAGAAAGCTACAGTCTTATACAGAATCGTTAAAATTTTAAAATAAACAAATAAATCCAGTCTACAGACGACAGGTTAAAATTTACAGTAAAATTGCAAGGATATGCATCAGAATAATTAATTTATCGTTAGTACGTTGCATAAAATAAACATTGGTTTTGACTCTTTTCCTACTTCCATTGCTAACTTGTTGCTTTGTTAAATAAATTATTGATTATACCCTTACACCTAAACCATATTTATCAAGTGCAGTACTAATCAGTACTAATGCAAACTACAATTACCTTTTGTAGCTATAACTTGTTGATTAAATATATAAAACATGCTACAAATGTTTTTGTACGTGACTGTAATTCATAATGTAATATTTGTTCATATATTTCAAGCTGAATTTAAGGGAGCAATATCTACGATGTTATCGATTTTCTGTACATTTTATTTTATAGAGTTAATTCGTTTGTCTTCCAATATGTTCAACTATAATAACTATACAAAAATAATGAAGGTAAGAGTTTTAAAAAATTATTTTGAGTTGTACTTATATAGGGACCATCTAAAGTTCGATATCTTCAATCATATAATTGGCTCAACTAAATATCAATTACTCTATAATTCGTCGAGCTGTAGAAGAATGATATTCCTTAAAAGTTTAAGTTTCCGAAATAACGAAAAAAGATTCCATTCTATGCGCTATAATATTTAAAGTATTAGTATTTGAGGTTCCTAAACAGCATGTGTAACAATAAAGAATTTTCAATTTATGTTAATACATCCTCCAATTTTGCTCGTAATTCCCTGTTCAAGTATTCTTCAGACTCTGTATTTAAGGGAATTGGTAATGTTTTTAACGATTTACTGAAAATATTCCTCCCTGATGTACTTTATTTTTGTCTTTTTACGAAAAGTAAAGAGTGTTTAGAGAAATCTCGAAGCATATCTCCTTGTCATGCATACCATGTAGATATATTTTAATGCACACTTAAATTTGCACTTATAATGCCCATAGAAAAGAAGCTAATATATATTATACAGGGTGGGACAATAACTATTACCACCTCAGATATCTTCGAAGCTCTAAGGTTCACAGAAATATTTGTTTAACCAAAATTGCGCAGTACGAAGAGAGCCATCCGATGGCGCTAATAGTTTTTTTGCAGGTGGAGGAACTTTGGATATTTCAAGGTCACCTCTATTCTTTTATATGGATCGGTATGCTTTTGTTTCCGTAGAATGATAGAGGAACTTAAAACGAGTTCAACGACCTATTACATAAGAGCATAGTAAGTGTTCAAAATGATGACTATCACTATCTTGCAGCACTGGATTCTTTTTATGACCGATTGACGTGCAAGTTTTATAACGTCAGAACTTATTGACGCGCAGGCTACAATAACACTGGTCAACAAAATTTAACTTTTTGTTTGTCTTCGTACATCCAGTTGCTGATTCTTATAGATTCTTCTGTGCTGAATACGAATCAGTAAACAGTTTTCTGCCATCACCCTCAGTTTCCGAGAAATTTGATTTTTTTTAAAAATGCTAAATTTCAACTTTGAACATTTCCTGTGTTCAAACATTAATAGTTATTCAGTTGATTAGGCGTTCAACTGTCGCTCAACTGTCGCTCAGCTGCCGCCTTTGAGTACCACTGCCAGCGTCGCAGATTTTACTAAACTATTTCGCTCCTGTATTGAACACAAAACGTGTCTTACCATTTCTGTTAATGCTTTCCGGAAGAAAAATGTTTACTGTATCTGCTGACGCAGGAAGATTATGTCTTGCACCCTTACTTTTTCAAATAAATTGAAAAATATCTGTAAAAATTGGTGCATTTTGGGTGTCCTTTTCCCTTTGATCGTTATTTAAACATGTTTAAATGTTGATAATGCGATAAGAACGTATAGCATTTTATTCGGGAAAGTTTACAGAATAATTTGACGCAACAATCAACTGAATAACTATTAATACTTGAACACAGGAAATGTTCAAAGTTGAAATTTGCATTTTTCTTTAAAATCAAATTTCTCAGAAACTGTGGATGTTGGCAAAAAACTGTTTACGGATACGTATTCAGCACAGAAGAATCTATAAGAATCAGCAACTGGATGTTCGAAGACAAACAAAAAGTTAAATTTTGTTGACCAGTGTAATTTTATCATCTGTGATACCGAACCTCACCATACGTTCACAGACCATTGTCTCTGGTGTTCAACCTGCCGCAGCCTGTGGATTTTCCGCTGCCCATAAATGCATGTTATGCAAATTAACATTCCCGTGATTTGTGAATGTTGCTTCATCAGTAAATAAGACGGTATTAAGAAGTAACTCATTGTTTTAGATCTGATGTTTAGCCCATCGACAAAATTGAATGCGATTCGTGAAGTCATTCCCCTACAATTGTTCGTGAAGACTAACATGGTACGGATGAAATTTGTGACGGTGCAAAATGCAAAGTACGCTCCTCCTAGTAGGGGAAAGGTGTCTAAAACGATCCCTCAGGGTAAAATGATTCCTGGCTGCCCTGTGGCTGTTAGTGGTGCTATATCGTAATGTCGTTTTACAATAGTTCTCCCCGCACGTCTCCAGTCGTCGCTCGAAATGTCATGTGAAAATCAGTGCTTTGTGTGTTGTCCACAAGAAAAATTTAAAATTACTGCAATTTATCTAAGATAAAGTCTTTTTCAATGTTGTGTAACTTTTGTCATAAACGGTTTAATGTGACAGCTACTTCTTGCGCGGATTTAACCACAATTCAATAATAATTTAATTAATGTTTCGTTACCGCATGTAATAAGTTGAGGTTATATTCAACCACTGAATGGGAGTTGGGTGTTTGGGGTCATATGATCCTTCTTTAGTAGAATAAAATGATCCCAGGAATCATTTTACCCATATGCTATATTATTGCTTTTTGTTTTAGTTAAAACAATGCCCCGTCAGTATGAAAGAAAAACAACGCGTCAAACCTGTTTTTATTTAAATAAAATATAATAACTCAAACGCTTTTTAATGTTCGTCGTATTTACTATCAGTAGGTATAAATGATCCCCGGGGATCATTTTATACACATACATTAGAAAATGACCTTTAAGTATGCCTTCAAAGAAATGTGAACATATAAAAATAAAATTGAAAGAAAAAATATAATTGATCAGGTAACTAAATTTTATTTAAGCCAACGATAAGATAGATAGACTAACTTACAAAAACTACTTTACTTTTATTTAAATAATGAGCATTTGTATTTTTTATATAAATTACGCCTTAAAGGGATCGTTCCAGACACCTTTCTCCTAATGCCAGATTCGCGTTCAATTTGTCGCGAACTAATATCAGGATTTGTAGCCACACTTGCGAACATACCGATTTCATTTTCTTCGTTCGTTACTTGCTTGCGGCGTTCACTTTTACGAACACTTAAACTACCGGTTTGCCTAAGTATATCACACACATTTTTAAATTTTTCGACGCGAAGGCTGAGACCGATGTAGATATCGTTCAGCATGCAAGTTTTTTGCCCTTACAGAATTTTGTTGACATTCGCCATAAATAAGCAGTATATCGACTTGCTCTTCAAACGGATACATCGTGCCCGGTTGGACGATACGATTCTATTTTTATCATGTTTATCTTATTCTGCAAACTTATTAAAGTGTCCTCGAAATAGTGTTTATTTTTAGTGAAATGAACCGTGAGCATTATCGCTTTTCCCCACTTTCTATGACTTTCAATGACCTTATGTAATAGGTCGTTGAACTCGTTTTAAGCTCCTCTATCATTTTATGGAAACAAAAACATACCGATCCATTTAAAAAAAATGGAGGTGACCTTGGAATATCCAAAGTACCTCCACCTTCAAAAAAACTATTAGCACCATCGGATGGCTCTCTTCATACTGTGTAATTTTGGTTCAACAAATATTTCTGTGAACCTTATAGTTTCGAATATACCTGAAGTGGTAATAATAATTGTTCCGCCCTATATACCTATAAACCTCCTAATTGTTCCATTAAATTTAGTGACACTTTTGTAACAAAATTTAAGATAACGAATAATAGACGAAAAAGCTATTCATCGAACAATTATAAAAATGAAATATTGAACAAGGTATTTATAAACATTCACACAAATAGAAATTAGTAATGCAGCAATACTTAATAATATGTCGTATTCAGTTGAAAGCATATTCGACGAACTTCCAAATTTGTTTCTGCCTAAAACGAAGTATTTTACCGAAAGTTTTTAATCTACAGTGTCTATTTGTTATTAATGTAGAATAGTTTCCTTCTGAAACGAGCTGAATCACGAACTACGACCCGTTTTGTATATTTTTTTTAGCTTAAATTGAAAAGAATCTTTTTTTTTTATTTGTCTTGGTTTATTAATTTTTGTAAATTGAACCGTTCACATGCCAAAGTGAATAACTATATTAGTTTTTTAATTTTTTCTAATTTTAGTATCAAAGCACTTGACTTTTCATATATCTATATTTTATATTTCCATGTTTTTCTGGAGTTAATCACTTTGGCAAGTAAACAACTCAATTATCACTATGAACTACTCAAGTCGCGTTCAAATATAATGATCCTTTTTCCATTCACTTCGTAAAGTTTTATTTGTACAACATTTGTCGTTACGTTATTAAAGTAATAAATTGCGGTATGATAAAGTCAACTGAGGTGAATATAAGTGCATGTATTTAACTATACATAAACGGAATAACAAGAAATCGACACAAAATTCACGCAAATAACACGATACAAACACAATTTATTACAAATGCAGCACAAAATGACAGCGCAAACGAGACAAGTTACGATGCATAATGACACTTTGATATCAAATATTTGTTTAATAGTCGTTAAATATTTACTTTTTGTGCTTACTTTAATTATCATAATAAATAAGGCATACGTTGTTTGCACATTCCAGATACATATATGAACACATATAATTATATGTATAACTATAATAATAAAATATATATTCTATTACTTTAATAACGTAATAAGTAGTTAAAATTGTAATACGTGCTGGAAATAAGGAATGGAACATCGATGTAATATCACGTTTTACTCACCTAACATTATTTTGTGATGAAACGTGTAGTTGGCTGCAACGACTATTTCGTGAAAGCAGTGTTTCATAAGATCAGTATATTAGTGTAAACAGAAGATTAGATTCTTTAAATGGAAAGTCACAAGCGATGCCAAAAGTAATTGTTTCTTTTTTAATGAAATGTCATAAAGGTAAAATATTTCGACGTTTATTTTTTTGTTCATTTCTATGATTTGATAATTAAGGTTTTATGTATAAGACATAATAAGACATTACTAAAACACGATTTTATAAAATAAAAATTATTCTACATGTCAGAGTAAGATTTGGGATTGCACTTTTCACAACTTTGGAAATCGCAATAACCACGGCAAAATTCATCACGTTTGAACTGCTGATAAAAGAAATGTAAAGTAATATTATTTGTATATTAATATATAATCTGAAACAATAATAATATAATAACAGAACGTAATAGGTATGTATGAAAGCTGATTGATATGTGGATCATGGAAGTGGATAGAAAATTATATTTTTATAAATGAATTTCGAGACACTGAAATTCAAATAAAACTATAATTCCTGTATTTATAGTGTCAATTTATCAGAAATAGGAAATTGTAATAATCTATGCACCTTATATTTAAATATTCAATCTTTTGCATGTTCTGTACGCAGGTCCATTGTATTGCAATAAAAGTGATTGTTTTTGTTTTCGTTTTATAAAACACAGTTATCAGTTTCTTTTGTACCAAAAATATTACACGTAATATATTAATGTTTCTCATTAATTTTTAATTTTTAGTTCGAAAGTATGTTTCACCCCGTTGTTTTTTCGTGTCTAAACTGAAATTATATAACGTGAAACTAGCAAACATTAAACTTCGGATGTGACCTAACATTTAATTTACAATTTTTAAACATTTTATTCTTTTATTTAATTATTTATTTATTACTATTATTATTATATATGAAACTTTGTGGCGAAAACATGAAATAATTCTTCAAAAATACAAATACAATAAGTATCGTGACTTTAAAGTTAGATGGCGTTAGATAGGATTAAATATGAATGTACTTTTGATTTCCCAAATCATAAAAAGTAGTGCTAAATAATTACTAATTGTCAAATATATTTTAAATCTGAACTTCCACGAAGGCAGTTAGGACATTTTTGTCTACTGTTGTTTTTTACTTCTGGTACGCTGACATATTGATCCGAGTAATGAACGCGTGTGATTCTCAGCGGTTTTGTCACATTAATGTGTACAGTAGTACGGTTGTAAAATATTGAATTCGTGGAAACACACCTGGCATCCGAGGGTTTGTATGTGACGTCGTACTTTTCGACTTGTTCGACCTGACTCGTGCTCCAAGAGACGCGGACAGACGTCGGATTCAGGAACATCACAGTGATATTTTCGGGGACGCCAGGGATACCTGTCACCGAACCTGTGGAGATTAAAGGTGAACACGGTGAGTGGTATGGTAAAATGTGTCGTACGTCAGAATTTTAGTAGAATTTGAAGGAAAACAAAATGTCAAATGTTATATGGATCAAGAAAGTAATATTTGACATAGGAACTTTTTTACATTTTTATTTTAATAACGTCAATCGTAAAATGAAACTGCTTTAAGATGGAATTTAAATATGTACTTGAAATATTTTTTAACAATGAAAATAGCGTGAGGTGAAATAACAAGAGGTTAGAAAAACTAGTGTATTAATAGCTTCTGCAAGACTTAAAAAATAAACTTAAAATATTTCTATTATGAAGGATACGAATAAACTAAAAAAAAATTGACAAATAAATAAAATATTTTAAAAGAAGGTCGTACTATTTTTCAGCGTCGTTTAAATAAAATACTATTTTAAAAACTTAATGTAACCAACAAAATATTTTATTTTTATACTTATATGTAACATCTAAAATTAAATGGGTTGTACACTATTTACTGTTTACGCTGTTATGAACATTACGAATAAACTAAAAAAAATTGACCATAAATGAAATATTTCAAAATAAGACAGTACTAATTTTTACCGTCATTTAAATAAAATACTATTTTAAAAACTTAATGTAACCAAGCAACTATTTTATTTTGATACTTATATGCTTAAAATGAAATCGTTATTTACTATTTACGCTGCTCTGTTTAACATTACCCAAAGGAAATGACGCCTACAATAAAACGTTAGAAATATCACTTCAAAACTATTTAACACCTGTGTTTGTTCATTTGTAAAAAGTTAAATTCAAAAGTTACTTCTTTATTTATAAAGGGTAACAATAAATAAGAACATATTTTTCATAAATATTGTTGGTATACGATAATTGTTTTTGCTAAATATTCGTCAACGCAAACAAGAAATTTGTTATTCCTTCTAATTTTTAGCAATTTGAAAAAAATTATGAATTTGGTGGTTTTCGTAATTTATAAATTTATAGTTTATCAGAAAATATATTTTTCAAGTTTAGCGTGTTGTTCATGTTAATGTAGAATATCACAATTCTCTACTACATATATACGAATAACGATGGAATCCTTGAAATGGTAAATTGTGTACCAAAAATAGTTTTTGTTAGGAATACTACAAAATAAATAAAAATAAATGAAGAGTACTTTCGCAGCCATAAAAAATACGGCTATTGTTTCAATTCTTCAAAGAAACAAAACTGCTTACAAGTGTAATATAACTGACAATTATCGTCGCTAATAAATTACCTTTTTCTAGTTAATGCAACGCAAAAGAAGGAAAGGAAAAAAATAATTTTTAACTATACTTTAAAAATCGAACGTTAAAAATGTTATGAAGATACGAGTTCATTTGTGAAGTTAGGGACATTAGTTTACTAAATGATGTGTAAAAAAAATTGAAGAAGTTGCAATTGATCGGAATCGCGAAGAAAATAGTAAAGGTCGTTTTCTACAATACAATTTTTTAATCTGAGACTATAATGAAAATTTTAAATATATAACGAAGATTTATGTTACTTATATACATGTTGAAAATTTCATCAAAATCGATTAACATTGCTACGAGATACAAACGATTAAAAATGTTGAAAAACACCGTTTCTCCCAACTTTCGATCTACAACTGTAGTAAATCTAACAATTCTTACATCTTTTGATGCCTGCCGCTCGTTTCTGTATCAACCGATTTCAACGAAAATTTCAGTATGTAGGTATACATATAACTAACATAAATCTTCGATATGTATTTATTAAATTTTTCATTATAGCCTCAGATTAAAAAGTTGTAAAAAACGACCTTTAATATTTTCTTCGCTGATTCCGACCAAATGCAACTTTTTCATTTTTTTTACACATCATTTAGTAAACTAATGTCCCTAACTTCACGAAAGAACTCAAGTCATTTGGACCAATTTTAAGAAAGTTGTTCCGTTTTTTAAAGGGTGTACGAATATTTTTGACCGATACTGTACATATGTATATGTATACCGACATATGCTTACCGACGAAACCAGCCCCTTGGAGGAATAGTATGGTGGCCCAAAGGACCATGCCGCCAAAATGGCGGGCCAATGATGGACCGCGTATCGTTCCACACACTTGCTCGTTTCCACGTTTGTTTTCTCTCAGAGATGTGCGTTTCCGTGATTCATGTACGACTTGATGGTAATCTGTGCATGCATCTATCTCGAGGTTGGGGCTCATCTAGCCTCATTTGCCGTGCTGCATTCTGCTCCTCTCATTACGCCATAACCTCTGCAACGAAAAATGCAACAAATCGATTACACTGTTCAACAAATTTGAACTTTTTTTCGTTCTTGTAACTTCTAAAAAGCGTTTCTGATAGATCTTCATGAACTGAATACGAATCTGCAAACCGTTACTTTCCAGTCCAACAATTGGTGCGTTTTCTGTGTCCTTTTCAATTTAATATAATAGTAATTTATATCATTTTGTTCGGGAGAGTCTAGAGAATTATTTCGTGTCAAAAGAAATTCCATAACTATTACTGTAAAAACACAACACAATTCCAAAGTTGAAAATTTGCAATTTTTCTAAAAATTGATTTTTTCAAATACTGGACGTGCTGGAACGAAACGGTTTGCAGATTCCTATTCAGCTCATAAAGGTCTATCAGAAACGCTTATTGAAAAGTGCAAAAATTTTCAGGTGTTGAACCGTGATTATTATTAACAATCTAAGTATTTCCAGAAGTCTATTAATATTAAGAAACTTTTTGATGTCAGTGCTTTACTGACAAAGAGCTTCTTATTATTTTCTATTTAAATAAGAATGAAAAAAGTAATTGTTGTTACATTATGTCATACGGTTTACCTTATTGGTTCAGGATTATAATTTATCGGTGGGAATGAACAATCTATTAACAGTATTCTGGCTATCAATCATTGGCTCTAAAGTGTTTATTGGGTAACTCTTAAATCATTTAAAAATTGTAAATTGTCATTGGAATTAATTTGGTAATATTCGGAAAATGTGAGCAGTTTATGTATGTACAACAATTTTAGAAACAGAACTATGTAGATTGTAACTGATTTAGAATAAAGGTAAATTATTGATAAAAGTTCAACATACAGTTACACATTTTTTCATTAAAACTATACATTAATTATAATATTTTTCTGTATCAATTTTAATTATTTTCATTGGGATGCTTGGGATTAGATTTAGAGGGAGCTCTAAATTCATTGCCATAATTAGAGTCTACTGTACGTATATTGTAACTAAACACGTTACATTTCTTACATTTTGGTATTTATTACAAACTATAAACTATAGAGTACATACCGTTATAGCAGGATGATCCTGAAGGATCTCCAACCGACACATTGTATTTGCATCTCGCTGGTCGGGTGACGTAGATACAAAGTCATTCCAATTGTGATCTGCAACAAAAATGTGAGATTCTCGTTTATATAACTATGTTTTTTAATATTTCATAACTATACAGGAACATTGACAAATTTTGTTGTTTTACAATTTAGCTAATGGTCTTTGGGTTCTGAAGGTATCTCTTATTATAAAAAGGGTTAAAACAGCCCTATTTTGAACTATGATATTGTTCATGTTAAATAGCGCACCTTCATGAGAAATATATATTTTTATCTTTTCGATAAAAATGAAATAGCTACCTTTTAGAGTTAATTTTTTCAGAGATTTTCAAATAAACGATTTTCGAGGTGCATCACTTCTCTAGCAAATCGATGATACATATTTTTGTCATTTGTTTTCATCCTGACATTCTAGGAATGAAAAGGAAAACTGATCGATTGAACGTTATTTTCATACTAAACGATAACAACTTCCAACTGTCTACAAATAATTAATCCTTCTGCACTGTTCAGCAAATTGTTGCATTTCTATTGCTTGAATTAAATTTGATCTAAGCTATAATTAATTTAAGAAAATACACTTACAAGTTGGTGTCAATTTAATTCATAAGTGTCTTTGATCAAGAACATAATTAAAAAGTTAACCCTTCGCACTCCATTGGAGTGTTAATATATGTGGTAATTATTAGTGGTAAAATATATGCAAGTTGTCTTTATTACAATGCAAACTAAACACTAACAAATAAAATTTAAATTTTGTAAATCTCATAAATCTACATAAGAAAGCAACACTGTCACGAAAAACACATTTTTAGATTTCTACATAGTCATTTACAATAAAAGTGTCTTTGAAGTGCAAAAGATTAAACCCTGTTTTCGGGTCAAATTTTTGTCGGAAAGCAAAATTTACAAGTTTCACAACAGAAACAATAAAGATATCTTTGGAGGGCAAAAGGTTAAACTCTAAATTTGGGTCAAATTAGAAGAGCAACATTTACAAGTTTCAGATCAGGAACAACAAAGATATCTTTAAGTTTCTAGTAATTTACAATAAAGATAACTTTGGAGGGCAAGAGGTTAAAGTGTGAGTTCAGGTCAAATTAGGAAAGCAACATTAACACGTTTCAGAACAGAAATAAGAAAGATATCTTTAAGTTTCTAGTAATTTACAATAAAGATATCTTTGGAGTGCAAAGGGTTAAACTCCAAGTTCGGTTCAAATTAGGAAAGTAACATTTACAAGTTTCAGGTCAGAAACAACAAAGATATCTTTAAGTTTCTAGTAATTTACAATAAAGATATCTTTGGAGGGCAAGATGTTAAAGTCTGAGTTCAGATCAAATTAGGAAAGCAACATTTACAAGTTTCAGAACATAAAAAACAAATATATCTTTAAGTTTCTAGTAATTGACAATAAAGATATTTTTATTGTAAGGTTAGAGTTCAGATCAAATTAGGAAAGCAACATTAACACGTTTCAGAACAGAAATAAGAAAGATATCTTTAAGATTCTAGTAATTTACAGTAAAAGTGTCTTTGGAGTGTAAAGGGTTAAACTCTAAGTTCGGTTCAAATTGACTGGAATAGTAGACAAGGATTAAATGGCTGTCGTTCGATCGAAGAAACATTTATCGGAAAGGGCCAATAAAATTTTAACTGTAAATTCGACCCGTGAAAGCTGAAGATCACCATACAATCCACGGATCGCTTAACGTTCATTTCCTTTTGGGTTTCGCGTTCACGGAAGCACAACGGAATTGCAACGTGGCCGAACCGAGATACGCATTCCGCCGCGGGCATCGCAATTAATCCGTTGCACGCTGTGTAATTTTAATGGGATAACTTCCATGCCGCGTTGCAAAATGAATACTCGACGGGCAGTCGATGTAACCAGTCTCACGTGCGTTTAATCTCGTTAAAACGTATGTGATTGATAGATAGCGTTTCGTCGGTCACAGGCTTCTTATTTTTACAGGATCCACGTACAGGTAGAGTCAAAAGTCTGTCGTAGGCAGAGTTGGACAGAATTTTATTCGAATAATACACAGTGAAAAGCAACAGTATCTACGGGTGTCGTTCTGAGCTTTAAACAGTTAATGAGATTAAATAATTGTTCGACAAATGTCGATTAATTCATAATGAAGTATTATTCTATTATAAAAATTAAAATTTCCACGTTTAAACAGTCGAAAATGTCGAAATACTTTTTTTTTTATCTTTTATTCGTTATTTGAAACTTTTTATCTAGATAATGAGTTCGCCCATCTCTGGTCGTGGGGTAAATTCAGAAGAGACGCCACGTGGGGAGAAACGCCATACTTGTAATATTTTCTGATTGGAAGAAGATAATTGCATACAGGGTGAGTCAATAAGAACTACCATCTAAAATAACTCGTTACCTATTGGTTGTATCAAAAAACGTTTTAATGAATCATGTAGCATTTTAAGGGACACATTGGATGGATACAATTTGATTTTTTTATACCTCAGTTTGATTTCGATATACCAAGGTGACCTTGAGTTTCTTCAAGGTCAATGCATCTTTTTCCTTTAATATCACAGTGTCATCGATGGAGGGACGAATGCAACGATCTATATTATGATGGTATTTAAATAACTTTTTTTTGAGATACCAAGGTGACCTTGAGTTTTTTCACGGTCAATTCATCTTTTTTTTTTAATATCACGTTGTCGTCGATGAGAATACGAATTCAACGATATATATTATGATGGTATTTAATTAATTTTTTTTTAGAGATCAAGGTGACCTCGAGTTTCTTCAAGGTCAATACATCCTTTTTTTTAATATCACGTTGTCGTCGATGAAAAGACTTTTCTATTCCTTTTTTAATGAAAGTTTTCTCTGGAAAAAACTTCTATCCAGAAAGTGCTTCAACTCCTTTTCAACACTTGGTCGATTTTGGAATCGTTGATTTCGGAAATTATTGTTTATTGCTCATTGCACCATTACCAATTTTTTTATATTTTTCGAACGGCCCTGAAGCTCTGGTGCCCAATTTGAATTCATAAAGTAACCAAGCCTCAGCAATTGATTTTGACACTTACTTTGAGGTCACTTTTTCAAAACTTTCAATACGTCAAATAATACGTAATCAACGTTCATGATCACCGTCGCATTTCGTGATACCGTAAGTTATATCAGAAAAAATTTTATGCCGCGTGATCGGAGTTCATTTCTTCACCTGTCTACTTCGAACAATTTCATTGCTCGCAATAAAAGTTTGTACTTAATTGCTTGATCACGATGAAGCAGGCTCTGATTAATTGCTTGTTCCTGAATTTAAGAATGATAAAGTTGTCCACAACTATTATCGTACTATTCGATCATAACACTGAAATTACGATTAGGAGATTTTATCTCTAAATGACTGGCATTCTAAATCAAGAAGTAGATTGCGAGTTCCATGTATTTATAGTCCATACAAGTATATAGAACACGATAAAATAGAAACCATTTTGAAATTTATCACACACTTTATTTCATTTCTCATGGAAGACATACCTTAGAAGTTAATTTATTTTTCTGTATATTTTGAACTCTATGTTAGATATAAAAAAAATCTTGAAATGTAAATTTGATAGATTTTTATGTTCTATAAAACTATGCAATGAAATTCTTAAAAATTTGCTGTGTAAATAAACAAATAGTTAAGTAAACAAATTTTTAATAATTCTAGTGCACAGTTTAATAGAATATAAAAAGCCATTAAATTTTCATTCCAACTACTTTTTCATATCTACTGTAGTTTTTAAGATATATACACATTAACTCTTAAAGGGAGTTTTCACCCTGAAGAAGCAAAAAGTAGCAAAAAGAAACATTTGCCTCATATATTTATTTAGGTCCTCTAGAAACCTGCAAAGTTTCACAAAAATCGGATTGTCCTCGTTACCAAAGTTCCCTTGTTAGAAACAGTTACCTTATTCAAATCAATTCGACATACTTTAACTCTGCTGCAGTGCTGAGTCTAACTATACAAGTCGAAATAATGATGAAGCAGCAAAAACACGCAGATCTCTAAAAATGTCTAAGAACAGTCTAGATTGAAATTAACTGGAAAAAAATCTGTAAACTCATAACAGCGTCAAACACATCAAAATGATTGATTGACATAAAACCGGTCCGAAGTCTGTAGTAAGGTTAACTAAATGGGTGTTTAGAAGAAGGGCGTATGTTCCATTTAAAAAAATTTACAGGGACACAAAAAAAACAAAATTCATTGCTCAATGTAACAATTAAAGAAGCAGCTGATGTAACATATGCCTTTCTTTCACAATGAAAATAAATACCAATCAAATAATAAGAATGTTATTATAAGAAGTACACTGGGCATTGTTCCACGTAAAAATCCTATTCAAAAAATGTGTAACACACGCCCAGGGATGGGCAAATTTATTATTTAGACAAACAGTCTCAAATAACGAATACAAGATAAAATAGTAATTCGTCATTTTTAATCGTTAAGACATGGAAATTCTTATAATAAAACAATAGTTTTTAAATGAGTCGACATTTGACAAATAATTATTTAATCTTGTTAACTGTTTAAACCTCAGGTAACGCCCTCAGATACTGCAGATTTTCCCTGTATCATCCGAATAAAAATGTGCCCAACTCTGCATACGTCCTTCCTCTAGACAACCATTCAACTAAATTTCAAACAAAAACATCGACAAACATGTAAATAGTTACCTAATCCTGAAGTACATAAAACACAGTCAACGTTGTAAATTCACGTGAACCCCTTGTTCCATTTCACTGAACAACTCTAAACGGTCAACCAACCGGAACACAGCACGTGACCGCAATAAGACAGTCTGACAACATGTTCTCGTGACATAACCGTTAAGTTCCAGGCAATTCAGCGACCTCGTGGCTTCAACAACGATACCAAAACACAACCAATCACTTCCGAAAAACCGGATTATTAGTCGTGGGGGATAACGATCATCACAGGTATATCTCCAGAGGGTGCGTATTTATGGCAATTTCCGTGTGAACACGAAACGAATCGTTAATAGAGGGGTTGTAC